GATGGTGGTAGAGATGATGATGGTGATGAAGACAATGGTGTTGGCGGTGATGGTGGCATTGGTTGTGGTGGTCACAGACATGTAGTTTTAGTGATGGCAGAGGTGATGATATTGTTCATAGGAATAGAGGGTGTGACAGTGTAACAGTGACGACAGAGATTGTAGTGGGTAATGGTGATCACACTGGTGGACATCGGTAGAGTGGTGGTAGAGATCATAGGGAAGGTGGTAGCGGTAACAATGGTAGTGATTGAGGGTAGCCACAGAGATCATAACGTCAGAGGTGGTCACAGGGATGATGGTGATTCTAGAGATGTGGTATGGTGTGGGGACCGTGGTGTGATAAAAATGCCAGAATCTTCTGGAGCAGCTCCTGGGACAACTCCTGGGTTTTCCTATGGGAGGCAGAGGGGACAAGTTGGCTCTCCCATCCCTTCCCCTTCTCACTCTGGACCTGCTTCCCACCCCACCCCACGCGGCCCCCCAGGTACGAAATGAAGGTGCTGGGCTACAACCTCCTGCAGGCCATGCGCTTTGCGGTGGAGGAAATCAACAACCATAGCAGCCTGCTGCCCGGCGTGGTGGATGTCTGCTACATCTCCAACAATGTCCAGCCCGTGCTCTACTTCTTGGCTCAGGAGGACTATTCCCTGCCCATCCAGGAGGACTACAGCCACTATGTGCCCCGGGTAGTGGCCATCATTGGCCCTGACAACTCCGAGTCCACCGCAACTGTGGCCCACTTCCTCTCCCTCTTCCTCCTTCCACAGGTGAGGCCCCAGGCTCCTGGGAGAAGTAGCTGGGGAGGGCGCAGAGGAGTGGTTGTCCAGAGGGCTCACGTCCCCCCACCAGTCATGGGGGTAGGAGGAGGCGGGAAGCAGGGTAGGGATGTCAACCCCAGCCCCGGGAAGGCAGCCTGGCTGATGGGTTAAGAGCTCAGACTTTGGAGGCAGACAGACCTGGGCGTGCATCTTGTCTCTGAGTCTTGGCCATCGTGAGGCCTTGCGCAAATCTCTTAACCCTTCTGAGCCTCAACTTCCCCACCTGTAAAACAGGATGATAAGAGTTCCATCCCAGGACTGTCTGAAGGTTAAAGGATTTAACCTCTGTAGGAGTTTGTGGGGTACGGTATCTCTTCAATGATGCAATGGCCATTATGTAAAGCACTTTGCACAAAAACGAAGACTCAAAGTGCTCACTATTATCCTGTACAGTTGCCTAGCACAGGGTCTGCCACACAGTAGGTCCTCAAAAAGGGCCATTAGTATTAGTACTATTATTATAAGTGTCATTGTCATCATGATTGAAAATGCCTCGACCAGAATTGGCCTGAAATTTTCATGCATTAACGAGCAGCTAGCACAAGAAGATAGCCCACAGTCGGGAGTTACAAATACTATAATTTCTGCTGTCGTTTTTATTATGTAAAGCACCAAGGGTCTGACACATAGTAGGTGCTTAGTAAATGTTAGAATACTTATGTGAGGCATCCAGTCTGGGACTGAACTCATTCTTTCATTCACTTAACCAATATTTATTGAGCTCCTCTGGTGCTAGGTGCTGTTGTAGGGCTGAGGATACAGGAGGGGACAAAACATAAGAGCCCATCTCCTAGCGGGAGAGACAGGCCATGTCAGGAACCACGTGATAAGGCTGCTGGAAAGTGAGAAGTGCAGTGCAAGTAAAGCAAGTAAAGTAAGCAAGAAGTAAAAGGCAAGCAGGGTGAGGGAGGCTGGACAGGTCGGTGGACAGGTGGAACAGGTAGAGAGGGACTGCAGTTCCCAGCAGGTGGTCAGGCGGGTCTCGCTGACAATTGGATGAAGACCCAAGGGAGGTGAAGGGGTGAGGGAGGCATGCAGGTGTGTAGAAGAGCCCCCCGGGACGAGGGGGCAGCGAACACAGAGGCCGGCAGGTGCCTGGTGCGTTCACAGAACCCGTGAGCAGAACTGGGACCCCGGGAGAGTAGGAGGAGATGAGGTCAGAGAGGTGAGGGCTGGGGTCAGTGATGGAGCCTCTTGGGGGCCACTGAGGACTCTGGCTGCCCCTGAGTGACTTTTGGAGCTGTTGGAGGGTTTTGAGCAGAGGAGTAAGTAAGGTGACTGACACGTGCGTGCTGGATCCCCTGGCTGCCACGTTCAGCAGAGACCACAGGGGGAAGGATGGGGGGGATGCTGTGGGGACCCAGGCGGGGCAATGGTGGCCTGGGGAGGCCCTCGCTCACGCTGGCGGTGGTCCCCTCTGGCAGATCACCTACAGCACCATCAGTGATGAGCTGCGGGACAAGCAGCGCTTCCCCGCCCTGCTGCACATGGTGCCGGGCGCGGATCACAAGATCGAGGCCATGGTGCAGGTCATGCTCCACTTCTGCTGGAACTGGATCATCGTGCTGGTGAGCGGCGACGACTATGGACGCTACAACAGCCAACTGCTCAACGAGTGCCTGACCACCCGCGACATCTGCATCGCCTTCCAGGAGACGCTGCCCACGCCACAGCCCAGCCAGGACGTGACCCAGTGGGAGCGCCAACGCCTGGAGGCCATCGTGGACAAGCTACAGCAGAGCTCGGCGTGCATTGTGGTCCTGTTCTCGCCCGACCTGGTCCTGCACAACTTCTTCCATGAGATGCTCCACCAGAACTTCACGGGCGCCGTGTGGATCGCCTCTGAGTCCTGGGCCATCGACCCGGTCCTGCACAACCTCACCGAGCTGCGTAACACGGGCACCTTCCTGGGCATCACCACCCAGAGCGTGCCCATCCTGGGCTTCAGCGAGTTCTGCATGTGCCCGCCCAGGCCGGGCAAACTGCGCCCAACAGGACCAGCCTGGGGGCCACCTGCAACCAGGATTGCGACACCTGCCAGGACACCACCGCGTCCTTCAACACCATCCTCACGCTCTCTGGTGAGTGCGTGGTCTACAGCGTGTACTCAGCTGTCTATGCCGTGGCCCATGCATTACCCAGCCTCCTGCGCTGCACCCAGACCACCTGCTCCAAGAGGGTGGTCTACCCCTGGCAGGTGAGGCCCCGCCCATGGAAAGTCAGGGCCCCACAGGGCAGGCATGGAGTGGTCGCCATGAAGACCGCTGGGTGCACCTGCTCTGCGCTAGCCTTCCCCTCGCTTGCTGGCTTCGGGGCAAACTGGTGGAGAGGCCATGGGACCATGCCCTGCCTCCAGACACATAGAACCAGACAGAAGTCCTTCATGGTGACAAAACTCCTTTTTGTATTAATGTAATCATTGCCATCCAAGATGGCTTGTCCTAGGAGGAGATTTGGGTGACATTCCCTGGAAAGAAGCCTGGCAGGCAGTGGGCGCCCCAGGTCCCCTGCCGTCTCTCTCTGGGCTGGAGGCCTTGGGGGCGGGCTTATGTATTCTGTCCGCTCTCTGAGGCCCTGCTTGGGGTTTATGCATCTTCTCTTGTCCCAGGTTTGTGTCGTCTGGATTCAGACTTGGAGTTTAAATCTATGTTTTTCTGATTTGCGCGCGTGTGCGCCTGCACACACACACACACACACACACACACACACACACACACCCCAAACCATGAAATCTTCACAGTTGGTAGAAGATTTTCCTGAGGATCTGGAGGAGCAGAGGGATTTACGTCAGAGATGTACACTTCATACCTTGTTATCCAGCATCTCTGAGCTCTCACAGGGACCAGCCAGCCAGGACCGCACGCTGGGTCATTTGCTCACCACTCACTCTCCACTGCATCCTTCTCTCGCCTCTGTCCACCCCCAACATCTCAGCTACAGCCCCTCTATCCATCTGTTGGGAGGCAGAGCTTTGTACTCAGGCTGACCTGGGTTTGAATCCCAGCTTTGCCACCACTAGCTGTGAGACCTTGGGCAAGTTATTGAATATCTCTGAGCCTCGGATTTCTCATGTGTGAAATAGAAGGAATAATAGGCACCGTGCTGAGTTCTGGGGAGGACTGACCATGCTGTGTGTCTGGGACCTGGTGCAGAGAGAAGCTGAATGTCTTCCTCTTTGTCCGCATCCATTTCTGACACCAGTGTCTGGACTATGATAGTCCAGGCCTCCTCCCACTCAGGGGAGTTGCAAGGACGATCCTTCCTTCCCTCCTTCCTTCCTTCCTTCCTTCCTGCCTTCCTTCCTTCCTTTTAAAAATCTTTTATTTATTTATTTGTCAGAGAGAGAGAAAGAGAGAGAGAGGGAAAGAGAGCACAAGCAGGGCGGGCGGCAGGCAGAGGGAGAAGCAGGCTTCCCGCTGAGCAGGGAGCATGATGTGGGGCTCCATCCCAGGACCCTGGGATCATGGCCTGAGCTGAAAGCAGGAGTTTAACCAACTGAGCCACCCAGGCGTCCCAGGGAGGATCATTTCTGACCCCCTACCTTGGAGCCCAGGAATCCCAGGTTGCTCAGCCCGGCCTGGCCAGGTCAGTGTGGGGATATGACCTGGACACCAGGACCTGGCTCCCCGTGGGACTCCACCATCCTGACCCCCGTCCATAGGCCTACCACCTGGGAGGAGCCTCCCTCCTCTCAGCTCCCAAGACCATTGCCCTCAGTCTTAGCAACACGTGGAAATTCCAGAGAAGCTTCCAGAGCCAGGACCTCACTCCCTGGGCAGAGTGGGAAGAAGGCTAGGGCCCCAAATTCCTTGGCTATCTGTCTGTCGGTCCCAGAGGGGAGGTGAGCTCCGGGCTCCCGAGATACAGCCCAATAGACTCTCCCAATTATGGAGGGAAAATCTAGGAGCCAGATTGATGGAGTATCTACGCTGGAAGTTCTTTTGGGGGTCAGCCCAGAGAGGTTCAGTGACTTGCCCAAAGTCACACAGCAAACTAAGGAAAGAGCTCAGATTGGAATTCAGGCCACAGGATGCCCAGTCCAAAGCATGTTCCAGCTTGTACCAACTTCTGCATACTCAGAGTGATGGGGGACGGCATGGGGAGAGACTGGAGAGTGGCCTCTACCGGTGGGGAGGCAAGAAGCACCCAGAGGGCGGGGGCAGGTGCAGCTGACCCTTGCAGGTGAGAGCCCAGGTATTGGATCCCCGAGGGATGGCGGAGGTGACTTCCAGGGAGAAAGAATACCACCAACACCGCGGCGGGAGGTGAGTACTTACTCGTTTTCAGGGACTGTGCTAAGTTCCCCAAATAGGTAAACTCACAGATGGCTTCAGAGCCCAGGAGACAAGGTTTTTGTTGTCCTACTTTGCCAAAGAGGAAACTGGGACTCGCAGAGATCAAGCGACAGGTCCAAGGCCCCATAGCAGGTGGCAGAGCTGGTGTCTAAACCCAGAGGTATCTGACTCCAGAGCTGCGCTCTCAGCCACTGCCTCCCGGATGGCCACCTGCACAGTCCTACGGCCCCTTGGGCAGCTGTGGAAATCAAGGCTAGTAGGACGGGAGAATTTCCCCCAGGTCTGGCCCGGCCTCTGGTGCCAGCCTCCCTTCCTTTCTCTTTGGCCCCTCCAGCTACTTCAGGAAATCTGGAAGGTCAACTTCACCCTCCTGGGCCATGAAATCTTTTTTGACAAGCAAGGGGACCTGCTCATGAGCCTGGAGGTCATCCAGTGGCGATGGGACCTGAGCCAGAACCCGTTCCAGAGCATCACCTCCTACTACCCCGCGCTGCGGCGGCTGAAGACCACCCACAACGTCTCCTGGCACTCCGCCAACAACACGGTCAGCTCCCGCATGGCTGCCGGGGGGCCGGGGCCTGGAGCTGGGCGGCCCGTTCGGGCTGGGGCGGCCCCGGGCGCTTCGGGCCCGAGATCCGTCATCGACAGCCGGTGGAGGCTCTATTTGTGGGGGGCGTGTCTGGGCCCTGTCCCTCCCAGTGACTAAGCACTGGGGACGTCTAGGGCTTTCTGGCTGCTCAGGACCCAGGGGCTCAGGGGCTGTGCCAAGTGAACGTTTGCTGGTCCCGTGGTTGCTAAGGACTTCAGTGCTCACGTCAACCAATGCTCACGATTTTGCTACATTCGCAGTCCCCTCCATCGTGCCTGCCACCTGTCATTCGAAAGCTCCTTTGTTTTACCCTCTTAGATAACAAGCTGTCAGGAGGGCGGTGGTGTGGGGAGGGGCAGAGACCCAGGCTTGTGTGGAGGGGGAGGGGTAGAAAAGCTCGAGGAGACTTCATCGGCATCCTCCCCACCCCCACACACTATTCATCCTCGTTTCTGGGGGGCTTGGTGCTGCTAGTTCCTGTGCTTTGTGGGGATTTTCATGGAGTCAGTTGGGTGGGTGTCTTGATTAATTTGCGAGGGCCGCTCTCCCAGGGGACCACAGTCTGGGGGCTGAAACAACACAGATGTACTGTCTCCTGGTTCTGGGGGCTGGCAGTCCAACTCAAGGTATCAGCAGAGTTGGTTCCTTCTGAGGTCTGTGAGGGAGAATGTTCCGGGCCTCTCTCCCAGCTTCTGGTAGTTTGCTGGCCATTTCTGGCTTTCCTTGGCTGGGGTGGTCTCCCCTGACCTCTGCCATCGCCTCCATATGGCCTTCTCCTTGTGGGTGTGTCTGTCTCCAAATCTCCCCTTTTGTAAAGACTTTGGTCCTATTGGAGTAGGGCCCACCCCTCTCCGATAGGACCTCATCTTGACTACATCTGCAATGATCCTATTTCCAAAAGAGGTCACATTTGTAGGTCCTGGGGGTCCAGACTTTAATCTATGAATTTTGAGGGCAGGCAATTCAACAAATAACAGTGTCTTTGCCTGGGTTTCTCCTAAAGCAGAGCCTGAGGCAAGGGTTTATGCGTAGATAGTTTATTCCAGGATCTGCTCCACGGGAATAGGAGTAGGTGATAGGGGAGAGCTCGTTAGGGACACAGTAGAAGGGAACGTTCTCAAGCTGCTGTGAGCTCAGTCTGACCAGGACCTTCTGAGGGGTCACTTTAGAGTTGTCCCCAAGGGAGGGAAAAGGATGGGATGGGTCCATGGGATCTGTACCACCCCCATCTGCTGTGGTCAAGGGTCGCCCCATGGGGCATTAACTCTCTTGTGCTTCCGGGTCACACATGTATGAGTGCCCAGCAATTTCCCACCAGCATCTCACACCCCGGTCCCAGGGCAGAGAGGGAAAGAGACAGAGTGTCACTCAGGGGAGGTGCTGACAGGTAGCACCCACACGATGCAGTTGCTGTGGCCGTGGCAGGAATAAAAGGAGGTTGGAGAAGACATGAGGGAGGCCAAAGCGATGGGATGCTGTCTTTCCCCTGGCCTGTGGGGTGGAGTTTTGAGGGCAGAAGCCAGCCCAGTCCCTCCACCGGGAGCTGAGCGGACCCCCCACAGCCCCTGCTGCTGCAGCGGGGTCCCAGGTGGAGCCCCTACTCCTCATGTCTCCCTCTGCCACCCATCCCGGAGTGTCCTTAACCCTCAGCCACTTGGCTGCTGGGGTGATCCAGACACTCGTCCCCAGGTGTCTGAGCCCGTGGTTGCCTTGTCCTTGCCGGCCTGTGGCTGTGGCAGGTGTCCAGCGAGCAGTGAGGACTGGGCCGCGGCGGCCAACCTCCCGGATTCCAGACCTAGTCCTTCGTACCCCCTTGAGTGTCAGCCACCTAGCTGCTTACACTAATCCAAATCGGTTACCTCCTCCTTCCTTGGCCATCTTGTTCACTGGCATCAGGCCCCTGAAATGACCAACGGGGGACCAGACAGCCTCTTTTGTCTGCTGGTGGAAGTAGTCCCTCTTTGGAGACCAGAACCTGTGTTCTAGCAGAGTCCAGGCTTGTGGGGACGAGACACCCCAGCTCCACCGTGAGCCCCCGAGAACCATGGTGAGCGTGGCCAATCCTTCCGCCCCATGGTTGCTGGACCCCTGTATTCTAGCTGTTGGGGCCACAGTGCTACACACCAGCCTCCCATTCAGTGCTTATACCTCATCCTAAAGGGCAGTGGCCCCACCCTCAAGGTGTTTTCCGCAAGCTGGTACCTTACCTGAACCCTTAGGATGCCATACCATCATCTCGTTAAGCTGGGTACTTCCAGGAGACGGGGTGTATGTTGGAATCAGTGGCTCCGGGGGTCACGTGCCCAATCACACCCCCTTGCCATACAAAGGGTCTCTTGTCTGAGGGGATGTTCTGGGGGGACCCACGATGGTGACTCATTCAGTCCGTCCAGCCTTGGAAGGTGGCACTGCACTGCGGATGGGGGAGGCGAGTTCTTACATGGATGCATCAGTGCTCCCTCCAGGGAAGAAGACACCCGACGTGGTAGATGTGCCAGCGTCTACGGAGAGTGGAAGCAAATCCAGGGTTCAACATGGTCTCTGGGCTGGAAGGCTGGGTGCTCAGCCGTGGCCATAGCTCTGTCGACCACGGAGACAGGGGCCCACGCTGCTGCACTCACGCTCACAGCCTCCATCCCTGACACCGTGGGCACTCTGCTCATGGCCCATTGTGCGAGCCCCGGGGAGGAGGTGGGGGCGAGGGCAGAGGCCAGCTGACCCGTGCTGGAGGCTTCATCCTTTCCGTCTGATTTTTTCTCACTGCCTGCATACTTGGATTGGCATTCACATGAGACACGAAAGTCATCATCACTGGTTTGAGGAATATACTTGCTCCCCCTGGGCCTGTTTTGGCGTGATCCTGAACACATCATTTCGGTTGCATGGAGACTTGCCGCTCTTCCTGCCTGGCCCTACGACTCCGTGCGTCTGAGGGTCAGTTGATGTCCTGAGGCCACGTGCTCTTTTTCCACGAAAGCCTGACAGGACACAGGAGCTGATTTGCAAATGGTGCGTCGCATCTTGTGGAAGGTGTGTTGTAGCTGCATCGTGCAACTCTCATACTGGGGCTTGCCCATCTTGTCCTCCGCAGGTGACCTTGGCCTCAGCACATCTGCCTGGCCATATGAGGAGAGCTTGCCCTGCAGCCAGGTCCTTCTTCAGAGTCTTTTTCTAGGCTTGGCATTCTGTACCTTGAAACCGGAAGCCATCTGAGTCACCTGCTAAATGTGGGTTGGAGCAGTATTTCCAAGAGCAATCTATGCTGTCTCCCACCTCTAAAGGTTCATCAAGTGCCATACTTCTTTAATGGTAGGAGATGTAAGATGTAATGACTCGTCCTTTAGCATAGAGAGGATGTCCTGGCATTTCCCAGATCACGGGACCACTAAAAGCATCACTGGTGTGGCAGGCCCCCTTTGAATCTTTGGAAGGTTTATCATATACCCTTATCCCTAAGGATTCACGTCCTAGCGGGGCTACTTCCTACTCACCAGATCCAATGAGTATGATGCCGTAGATACAGTGGACCAGCCTGACGTTCTGCAGAATTCCAGAGTGCTCTAGTTCCGTATAGACCAAACCCTGATGGAGAGAAGCATAAACTTAGCTCTGCCGTGAGGGTAAACGCTAGTGATTTGAGAGCTTTTTCTTTTTTTCAGTAGGCATTTAGAGCTGTATATATCCCTCTAAGTACCGTGTTCACTGCATTCTATAAGCTTTGGTATATATTAATTAAAAAAAATTAAATTATGGGAAAAAAGACCCTATAACATAACAGTTACCGCTTCAGCCGTTTTTTTCCCAAGATTTTCTATTATGGCAAGATATACATAAATAGTTTACCATCTTAACCATCTTAAAGTGCACGGTTCAGCGGTATTAGGTGCATTCACATTTCTGTGCTAACACCACCAGCCTCCCCCTCCAGAACTCTTCATCTTCAGAATGGAAGCTTTATGCCTGTTAAATGCTAACTCCCCATTCCCGCCTCTCCCCAGCCCTGGGAACCACTGTTCTACTTTCTGTTTCTGTGAATTTGACTAAGAACTGCCTATAAATGGAATCACACAGTATTTGTCTTTTTGTGACCTGCTTATTTTACTCAGCATCATGTCCTCAAGGTTCAACCATTTTGTAGCGTGTGTCAGAATTGCCTTCCTTTTCAAGACTGAATAATCCATTCAGTCGCTTATCCGTTCATCCATCAATGGGCACACTCGGGTTTCTTCTACCTTTAAGCTATTGTGAATAATGCCACTACCAACATGGATGTGCAAATATCTCGTTGAGACCCAGCTTTCAACTCTTTTGAGTATCCACCCAGAAGTGGAAACTGGATCATGTGTTAATATTCTTTTTAATTTTTTGTGGAACCGTGTTCCTCCGCAGGGGCCGCACCATTTCACATACCCAGCCGTGGACAAGACGTTCCAGTACCTCCACATCTTCGCCAACACCCCTTATGTTCTGGTTTTTTGTTTGTTTGTTTTTGTTTTTCATAGTAGCCATCCTAATGGGTGTGAGGTGGTCTCTCGCTGTGGTTTTGATTTGCATTTCTCTACTGATTAACGACTGAGCATCTTTTCAAGTGCTTATTTGTCGTTTGTATCTCTTCTTTGGAGAAATCTCTATTCAAGTCCTTTGTCCATTTTTGAATTGAGTTGTTATGTTCTAGGAGTTTTCTCTATATTCTGGATATTAATCCCTTGTCAGGTATCTGATTTACAAATATTGTCTCCCATTCTGTGGTTTGTCTCTTGGAGTGTCACTTGATGGACAGAAGTTTTAAATTTTCACGAAGTCTTATCCAGGACATCAGTGCCAGATCCGGCGTCATGAAACTTATGCCCTATGTTTTCTCCTAGCTGTTTTTATGGTTTTAAGTCTCCTACTGAAGTCATGGATCCATTTTGAGGTAATTGTATATGGTGTTAGGTCCAACTTTATTCTTTTGTATGTGGATATCCAGGTTTCCCAGCACCATTCATTGGAAAATGATCTTTCCCCCACTGAATGGTCTTGGAACTCCTGTCAAAAATCATTTCACCCTATGTGTGAGGGTTTGTGTCAGGACTCTATTCTATTTTACCGGTCTGGATGTCTGTCTTTATGCCCGC